TAATAATTAATAATTATGTTAAATAATGTGACTTAATTAACATTAAATCACCTCGTGGGGCACCATTCCTGTAAAGAGAAAATGATAGCCAGTTAAAGATATCAGTCTCATAAAATACGCTAAACTATTAATTTGGAGTTTGATTAATAATTAAATTAATGACAACAACCAAAATTAACAGTAACGCCTGAAGGATTTCGGAGTTCTTGACGCAGCAGAGGTTGACTATTCATTCACCCTTATGCAACATTAAACAGACAGCAGGCATGATTCCAAAGAATTATATTTATTCACAAATTAGCAAAGCAAACCAAAACACACAAATTATAACTAACTATATACAAGCTTGGTGTGTATATGTGTGTGTGTGTGTGTGTGTGNGAGAGAGAAAGAGGAGAAAGACAAAGGCGGGTGTGATGATCAAGGAGCCGTTTGGCCTACAAAACAAAATGGCTGACGACAGAGAACTACCAAAATGGCCGAATCAAGGCTGCTTCAGTTTCGGGGGAGGTGTTTGTCTGACCATGTGGTCAGGACAAAGACAAAGGAAAAGAAGCGGGAACTTTGAGATGCCTGTTTGGGTGTAGCTCTGTTGAAAGCCTGTTTGTTAATGAGTCTATGTGAATGTGATTTGTGTTGCAGACGGTCTGGATTAGTGCAGAGATTGTTTAGTTGTGTGCAAGAATCTGTTTGTGAACAGTATTAGCAAATTAAACACTTAGCTTTGGCGAAGCCAACTAATCAATGACCTAACTGCCAACAATCACAACAATAACTCAATGAACAGCATCAAATCACATACAACAAGTCAAACAGTCTTGCTTAGCCTGTAAAGCTGTGATAAGCTATGCCCAGTTGTTACATTACCGATCCTTGAGTGGATGGGAGAAAGAGTCACTTGGTGGTGTACTGCTTTGTTAGTCGGCAGAAGAAGGCTGGGAAGGTGTGGTTTCAGCTGCAGTCTTTGTTGTGTCCTTTGTTCCAAAGGTTCTGATCCGAGGAAGCTGGTAGCTTGGGGTCCTTGCAGAGTTAGATGCTGGGTGCTAACTCACTTAGTTCCTTGTTGCTGGAAAGCTAGTTGCAATGGCCTTGTGTTTGCAACAGAGTCTGTGATCAGTTGCCCTCCCTTTAGTGATTTGGGCTATGGAGCAGGGGTTTGGGCCTCTGCTGTCCCAGGCCCAGCCGGAAATAGGGGTGCAGCTGCTATAGCAGCTGGAGCAAGAACGGGAAGAAATCTGTTGGAAGGGAGCAGATCTACAGATGCCTGTGACATCAGAGTCGCATGTCCTGAAAAAGTCCTGTCCAATCAAGTTGTGAGACTTGTGTCTCACTGAGGTGTGAGGTGAGACCTCCTGTGGAGATGGGTGTCTTCTAGCTGTCTGTGTTTGGAGAACAAAGAGCATGCAGAGGAAAAAGCTTTTAAATCTCCAGTTATGATTTTACCAAATGATAAATCATCTGTGGTCCTGTGAATCCCAACAATGATATAATATTTGATGGAGGTAAAATTATTATGGCAATACTTTTTACATTACAACGTCATTTATTCACCTTTCTATGAGATCAATCGATGCGTACAGCATCGATTAATAAACTTTCAGCACCATGGTGAAGGACAGCTCCAACTTACGATGTGGCTTAGCAGCTCTCCTTGCGAGCACCCGCTAAGGCACAGTTTGGGAAACACTTGTAGGAAAAGAAGTTCCTTAGCTAAGGTATATCTTAGAGACCTTCGTAGAGCGCTAAGGTACATTGAAACTGGGAAACGGGGCCCTGGAGGTTTAAACTCATGTCTCACAGAGTTGGTGATAAAAACTAAACTTTCATTCCTGTCAGAGAAAAGTGACATTCACAGATAATTGAGCCTCCTACCTGCCTGTCAAACAGCATCAAACCATAAACCTTCCTGAGACAGTTCGGACTGAGTGGAGTCCTGAGGAAATCAACAGATGTAAAGACCAGCGGCTGGTGGCTGCTTGCTCTGATGCCATTCTGCGGCTAACTAGTGGAGCTAACTGCTAACAGCCACCGCTGCAACTAACAAACACCACAAATCCATTCAACAGCTCCACCATCTACAGTCAGACACACAAGGCGACTGTGTGCAGAACAGTGCTTTTAAGGTGCCCCTTGTGCCAGCAGTGCTGGGAACTCCCCGTCTGTGCTGTTAGCAAAAATGCGTCCCTTAAAATATTGAATTTCATTACAAACATCTTAAATGGTTTTCTTGTCTCTTCGTAGGATCAAATAAATGTCATAACGTCACAGATAACTCAAATGTATTAAGTGTTTTTAAATGTTTATTGAGGTAATACATCAAGGGAAAAGTAGGGTCATTTTCTCATTGACTTACATTAGGTAGGTAGGTACATTACCTTTAATTGTCAGTGCGTGCTGTTTTGAGATCGGTGGGACAGAGCTGCCCGCTGAAATGGAGGTGAACAGTACAGGTCCTTCTCTCCCTCAAAACTAATCAAATACACCATCAAATGACTCCAAAATGCTCTAGTGGACAACACATGGCTTGCGCATTCCCCACGCTATGAAATAATAATGTATAATTAAGTAACATTACGACACATGAAGCAAATACTCGGAACTACTTTCTTGAGTAAACCACTGGGCGGAGTGACACAGTGCGCAGCTGAGACAGTGCCGTTGTTATTGCTTGTAGCCATTTGCGGTGTCGTCAGCTGGACAAACCAGAAGGTTTGAGGAAAGTTTACAAGTGTTTTTGTAAATCATGGTTTCCACATGCATTGTAAAAGGTTGCAGTAACAAGCCGAAGACATGGAGCAAAGTGAAGTTTCACGTAGTTCCAACCAGTAATACGGACAGGATGAAACAATGACTATTTGTGCTGGACATCGACCCCAACACGCCTGTGGAAATGGTACAGAAAATGTTTGCGTGCTCCTGCCATTTTTACCAGAGGACTACAGTGAAAGGATGGAGCGCAGAAGCTAAGGAATGGTTCAAATGTTTTTCTTGAAAGATACTTTCATACCATCTGTCGGCATCACAAAACGAGCAGACGTGGTAAGTGATCGTTATGTATTTTGCTCAGCAATCTCTCTGCTGTAACGTTACCTCCATGTTGAGTAACATTAGCCTACACCCCAAGCATGGTAAATAAGGCTAAAATGCAAATGTTGTTGTGGTTATTATATGGATAAGTGCTTGCCCAGAGCATAGTGAAATGACTGGCATTACTTCTCATTGTTGGGAATAAACAGATTGTTAGGGAACATTTTATGTTGTTGTTCCCTCAGGAGTTGTGGTGAGTGTGGAGTTAGCATGTTCTCCCCGTGTTCCGGTGATTATTTTGAGGCATACTCTATATTTATATTGCACAGGTGTACCTAATAAAGTGGCCAGTAAGCCCCACATTTACACCACCGGCTCTGGGTCTCCCCTCAGCCCCTGGTTGCTCGGCAGCCGCAGCCTCTCTTCTTGCAAAACCTGTAACTCTTCCTCTGTATATTCTGGCTTCTTCTCAACAAACTTGTTGTTTTGATGATGGGAGTAACTGCACTAAACATACACTGTTTGAAATCACTCTGCCCAGCAAGTACTGTATGTCTGGAATGTAGTTCCGGCTCTGTATTTGGCTTCTAAACAACTCTGTCTCATAATATTACATTATTATTTCATAACGTGGTGAATGTGTGAGCTACAAGTTGTCCACAAGAGCGTTTTGGAGTCATTTGATGGTGTATTTGATTAGTTTTGAGGGAGAGAGGGACCTGTACCGTTCACCTCCATTTCAGCGGGCAGCTCTGCCCCACCGATCTCAGAACAGCACGCACTGACAATTAAAGGTAATGTACCTACTCATATGACTATAGAGATTACGGCAATAGACGAATTTGCCAAAATGCCGAACTATCCCTTTAAGGCCCATTTATTCTCAACGTTAAATACGGATCCAGATACGGACGAAGCCTTCTGTCCATGCTCCGCGTTCATTTCGTCCGTATTTCTGCACGTTTCCATAAAGCTTACGGATACGGGCCAAACGGAGCAGTACCACCGGGAACTGTGGGGGCAGTGTTACTGTCACTACCCAATATGTAGCTCTAGTGAGACACGAAGAAGAAATAACAATTCAATTTCTCTCATCGGCAGTACAAGAGAAAAGAATTCTCCGTCCTCCAGTCGCGATGTATTTAACGGCCTCACCAACCACTGCCTCCTACAACGCTGCCTCTGTTTTTGTCTTTTATGCAAGAGGTACATTATCAATATCTCCTCCACAGTCGTCATGTTTGTTTTTGAGTTTGTTGTTGTCATAAACTTTTGACGCTGGGCTGCCTCCTGGTGGATATATTGGTTAACATCCACGTCAACATAAAGGGCGCATGGAAGTCTGTGGGCAGTGACGGTAACATCGTTTGAAACGGACGTATACATTTTCGTACATAAAGGGAGCATAAATGGGCCTTTATAGCGACTTTCCAGGTCCTTATATTAGCGTATAACAAACCTCAATATTTGTTGGGCCCATCCACAATGATGGGTCCAACAAACTCTGGACTTTAATTTGGGAGCCCAGAGCCCGGCTTCCTGTATAAATGTAGAGCCAAACCATAATATTTTTTCTACACCTAACCACATTCCTTTTGTTGCCTAAGCCTAACCACATGCTTTGGTTGCCTCAACCTTACCATGTGCTTTTGTTGCCTAAACCTATGATGCTATGTTGTTTCCTGGACCTTACCACATGCTTTTGTTGCCTAAAGCTAACCACATGCTTTCGTTGACAAAGTGGTGATATGTGACAACTTGGGATGAGAACATGTTTGATATTTGAATGCTATGCTGTTTTGTTTTTCTTACTTGCCATTTGCCAAAATTGAGATTAAAACAGTTCTACCTCTGCATTTTATATTTGATGAGCTACACTCATGTGTAAGGTTGGTTGAGGAATATTAACAGTTTTAATGGGTCATTTCCCTGTTCTTCTTGATGTCACCATTACTGGTATTGTCATTATGTAGTCATGTTTAGGTCGTAACCCAGAAGCCTTCAGGTTGAAGAGGTCAGGCGAGGTCAAAGGCTGGCACAATAAAGGCTGCAACTGTAAACGCTCTGGCTGCCTTAAGAACTACTGCGAGTGCTATGAGGTTTACCTGCACACACACACACACACACACACACATGCAAACACACACACATACACAAAGTGATTCTTATTTGATGCAAAATAAATCATAAACAAAGTGGCAACCAAAAGGGCTGAGTGCTGAAGCCAGCAGCCCACTGGCAATGTTTACTGTAAGTAGTAAAGTGAGTACAAGATCAACGGATCTCCAAAAGACATTAGTTAGTTAGTGAGTTAAGATGACACATGCTTTTCTACATTTTAAGCAAGATTACTGTATGTTTTTTGCTTTGTACAATTTTAGAGTAAAAAAAAAAGACATTTGAGCTCTCAGACAACTTTTACAGTGTCTCAGAAATTAATTAGCTTGTTAGGGCTCTGGCTTGTTCACAATCATTGTTAGGAAAGGCCAGGTGATGCAGATTTCAAAGCTCTATAAATATTCTGACTCCTGAAACCTTGTCCCAACAATCAGCAGCCATGGGCTCCTCTTAACAGACTACCAATGTCATGAATAATGACCTGCAAAGATTGTTTGTGGACAAACATGTAGTCTGTCATGTCTGTTGGCCAAGTCACAGCAAGATTTTGCAATTGCCTTAACTGACATAGAGACTGTCAGAACAGTCAAACGTAACATGTAGTCTGAACCCAGCATAGTGGATTCTAAATGCAAAGCTAAAAAGAAAAAAAAAAATCATTTTACCACGAACAAAGTGAGGACATTTCTTTTGAGCTAGAATAACTAACTTCACCTTGACTCACAGACCCCTCGGGCTTCAGCACTTCATTTGGTGCCACTTTTTTGCCCAGCAGAGAATTAATACATAATTTGGAATACAGATTGATTAATTTGTAAGCATATATGCAGACTTTCAAACTATTTTTTTATATTCTTATAATTTTTTTTATTTCATCTCCTGTTAATGTAACCAGGTGTTTAATTACTACAAATAAAAAGCATTTAAATTAATTTGAATTATTTTACACTTGCTTGTGTTTTTAAATTTACTGTCTTTTCTCAGTGTAAGGTCAGAGGAGACTAATTTTGGCTAATTACCATTCTTGTGAAATGTACATTAGAATACTAATGACCACGGATTGCATTCAATTGTCTGTACAAAATGAACTATATAAGCTTATTTTTTCAGAATGCTTGAACAGTTGTGTCTGTGCAGGCCAACATCATGTGTACCTCAAGCTGTAAATGTGTTGGCTGTAGAAACTATGACGACAGCTCAGAAATGGGCCTCAAAGAGAAGAACAAGTGAGTCCATCCATTAACACACCACAGCTTTACAGTATCTCATCACAATTCACAGTATCAAAGGCCTATGGGGATAGATTTGTCACAGTATTATTTGTGTGAGCAGTTTGGTAATCTGTGTGTAAATGTGTGATCTGTATCTGTACATACACACACAAAACATTGTACACTCAGAAAAATATTTTGCAAAGATTAAACGCATCTGCAAAGACACAAACTCCAAAACCTGAAAAAAGACTGCTTGTGCTTAAAATGCAAATCTGCAAAAATAGAACTGAGATTCACAAATAAAAACTGGATTCATAATATCTGTTTGAAAGTTGTTAATGTCAGAAAGATAATCACAAATCTTTTTCATTTATTTGTATATTAATGAACCCTTTGAACTCTGCCATAGAAATGGTCCACTAGTGCATATGTTGGTATTTCTGCTCATTGTGATGTCATTTCCTAGAGTACTTCATATGCTTCATATCCTTAAAACTTAAGCTAAAAGTTTATGTAAGTCAGTAAATCATAATAATTGATAAAGTGTAAAAAATTATGTCAGGAATTGAACAAAAAATTCTGACATGTTTTTACATCAGATTTGAAAAAAATAAACACACAAAACATATTGATTCGTAAGATTTCTAAATGTAGAAACATGATCGGAATATTTATTAACACTCCATAAGTTATTTAAAATATGTACATATGTACATTTTAGTTTTTTAAATAAATACTCATCCCCCAAGGAAGGATCCTTGACTTTGAGAAACACTCAGAGTCTTAGCTTTCTGCTGCAAAAAAATATCATAGCTATTATAGTTTTTATTTTAGATCAATTTTGAGCAGGATCATGACAACAACAATTTCCTACAGCCATTACAGGACATTACTGTGGTATCACCAAGAGTTTTCACCATCTTATGGAGTTGTCACATAACGTAATCACAAGAGCAAAATATGATGGTGTAAAAGACAGCAGTCTTCGCTTTCTGTTGCAAAAAAAAAAAAAATGAACACTAGCTATTATAGTTTTTATTTTAGATTGATTTTAAACAGGATCATGAAAATAACAACCCCCCATGGCTGCCTGCTGAAGCTCCAGGTAGTCCCTGCTTCACTGATGTACACTATGTTTGGGTGTGATGTTGTCACCAGAGGAATGGGCTTACCCTTCATGTAAATGTGTGTCTGTGTGTGTTTAGATGGCCTGTGTCACTGATAACCCCGGCTGTGGTGGAGGCTGCGTGTGGCTGTCTGCTGGCCCAGGCAGAGGAGGCTGAGAGCGAGGCCCAGAGCCTTGCCCAGGCTGAGCGCATGGTCCTGGTGGGGTTCAGTCACTGTCTCAGACAGATTATTAAGGCCATGTTCAAGAACAATGCAAACTAATGCTGTGGAGACATGTCTGGGTCATACTTCACCTGCTTAGGATCCAAGATAAACAGCTGTGTTTTCAGCTGGACCAACATGAATGTTTAAAGTCACACTGTGGAGTTTGGAAGGCTTTACAGATGACTTTTTAAGCTATGCAGTTTAAAGGCTGACATGTGGCAACAGCAATGAACCAAACAGTGACCAAAGGTCACACAACATTGCTTTAATTTTACAGCTACATCTGTACCAGTTTATTTAAAGGGTTTAATTTATCTATACTGTCTATCCATATATACATATATATATGTATATGTGTGTGTGTGTGTGTGTATATGTACACACACACCGAACACACATACACACACACATATATATACTTGTATTTATTCGTCTGTAATCAGTTTTGTTATTACAGTTGTTATATGTTACCCTATCTTGGATTTTTAAAGTAAATTTATTTATTAATTTATGTACTTTTGGACTAGCCTTGAAAATAATTTATTACATAGGCTGGACAGGTTTTAAAATAAAATGAATGTGTAAGACATCTGGTGTTTCACTGGCCATGGTCTTCAGGGGCACTGGAGGTCGTAAAAGCAGGGTTCATATAGTCATGAAATACCTGGAAAAGTCATGGAATTTGAAAATAGCAATTTCCAGGCCTGCAAAAGTTACAGTGTTAGTGATAAAAGATGAATAAACCCCAGAAAGTTTTGGAGAAGTCATGGAAATTTGCTTCACAAATCCCTCTATAATATGGTTAATGTCTGGGCCAGGGGTCAGCAACCTTAACTGTCAGTAGAGCCATTTTTGACCAAAAACAATTTTAACAAATCTGCCTGGAGCTGCTAAACATATTTGAGCCTTATGGTAACACAGCTTAAAGTCTAAATTAGGTGTAAATGAGCATTGAAAATAATGTTTTACCACAGAGTTCATTTGCTCAGTCTGTTCAGAGACACGCAAGGAATATCCAGGTATAATAATAATAATAATAATATCTTTATTTATATAGCACCTTTAAAAACAGAGTTTACAAAGTGCTTTGACAGACAAAGCAAAAGCAGTGCAATGCAAAGCAAAGACATGATACAGAAAACAATAGCAGATCTGACCTTAAGAAGACGGCGGCCGAAGACAAAGAAAAACAATAAAGAGATGATAAAAAGATTAAAAGACAATAGAAAGATGATCGAAAGACAACATTACATCAATCAATCAATCAATCAATTTTATTTATAAAGCCCAATATCACAAATCACAATTTGCCTCACAGGGCTTTACAGCATACGACATCCCTCTGTCCTTATGACCCTCACAGCGGATAAGGAAAAACTCCCCAAAAAAAACCCTTTAACGGGGAAAAAAACGGTAGAAACCTCAGGAAGAGCAACTGAGGAGGGATCCCTCTTCCAGGACGGACAGACGTGCAATAGATGTCGTACAGAACAGCATAATAAATTA